AAATAAATATGATTTTAAACAAACAAACAAACCAAAAACGCACGATTCGGAATGCACTTGGCGAAGGGGGATATTCCCATGACAACGCAGTTGTTGATCGGTGTCCAGCTGTTCTTACGACATACATGTCTTTCTTTCTATTGCTGTTAACAACATAACTGTTGTTATTTATAAATATATAACATTTTATAAATATAAAAAAAGTTTTCTTTTTAAATATGCGGTGTGTGTGTATTTCTCTGCTCTCAACTTTAAAACTTGCCGTCTCATCTTTGGACCCTGCCTGCATTACCTTACACATTTTTTCTTACCTATGAAACTTATTACAACATGACAAAAATGTGACAAAACAACTTTTGCTCTGTTTGTAAGTTAACTCGAACTCTCCCGCCATCTGGCTTTAAAATGAATCACGAGCTGGGTTACATATGACCATAAATAATAGAATTACTTCCTTGAAGTGAGTGACCATCGCATGTATCCTTCGCCAACGGCCTTGTGGAAGGGAAGGGCCCTTCGTGAAGGGATCCAGTTGTTCCCCAAGTGCCCTTCAAGGGCGCAAAAATTCCGTTTGGAATTTGCCCACATGTAACGTGTTGGATTTTCTTTCTATGTGTAATAGGTGCATTTGTGAGCTTAGCTTAGTTTAGCTTATCCAAGAAATCACCTAAGAAAACATTTTGTCATTACTATGAAATACACTCACCTAACGGATTATTAGGAACACTATACTAATACTGTGTTTGACCCCCTTTCGCCTTCAGAACTGCCTTAATTCTACGTGGCATTGATTCAACAAGGTGCTGAAAGCATTCTTTAGAAATGTTGGCCCATATTGATAGGATAGCATCTTGCAGTTGATGGAGATTTGTAGGATGCACATCCAGGGCATGAAGCTCCCGTTCCACCACATCTGGTGACTGGGGGCAATTTTAGTACAGTGAACTCATTGTCATGTTCAAGAAACCAATTTGAAATGATTCGAGCTTTGTGACATGGTGCATTATCCTGCTGGAAGTAGCCATCAGAGGATGTATACATGGTGGCCATAAAGGGATGGACATGGTCAGAAACAATGCTCAGGTAGGCCGTGGCATTTAAACGATGCCCAATTGGCACTAAGGGGCCTAAAGTGTGCCAAGAAAACATCCCCCACACCATTACACCACCACCACCAGCCTGCACAGTGGTAACAAGGCATGATGGATCCATGTTCTCATTCTGTTTACGCCAAATTCTGACTCTACCATCTGAATGTCTCAACAGAAATCGAGACTCATCAGACCAGGCAACATTTTTCCAGTCTTCAACTGTCCAATTTTGGTGAGCTCTTGCAAATTGTAGCCTCTTTTTCCTATTTGTAGTGGAGATGAGTGGTACCCGGTGGGGTCTTCTGCTATTGTAGCCCATCCGCCTCAAGGTTGTGCGTGTTGTGGCTTCACAAATGCTTTGCTGCATACCTCGGTTGTAACGAGTGGTTATTTCAGTCAAAGTTGCTCTTCTATCAGCTTGAATCAGTCGGCCCATTCTCCTCTGACCTCTAGCATCAACAAGGCATTTTCGCCCACAGGACTGCCGCATACTGGATGTTTTTCCCTTTCACACCATTCTTTGTAAACCCTAGAAATGGTTGTACGTGAAAATCCCAGTAACTGAGCAGATTGTGAAATACTCAGACCGGCCCGTCTGGCACCAACAACCATACCACGCTTAAAATGGCTTAAATCACCTTTCTTTCCCATTCTGACATTCAGTTTGGAGTTCAGGGGATTGTCTTGACCTGGACCACACCCCTAAATGCATTGAAGCAACTGCCATGTGATTGGTTGATTAGATAATTGCATTAATGAGAAATTGAACAGGTGTTCCTAATAATCCTTTAGGTGAGTGTATTACCGTCTAATGTGCATATAAAATTCACTATTGAAAATAGTGCTCTTTGCCTCTTTCCCACTGTAACTCCTACATCTTTATTTTTTGTTAGTTGATTTTTAGACAACAGAATTGGATAGAAGAAAAAAACAAACAAATTGATTTAATAACCAGGCTATAAGAATGCTTATAATATTATCTATTAATGCAAGTTTTTCAAATTAAGTCTGCTGTTTATTTAGAAATGAATTACAACAAAATAATTGGTCAGAATGACATTAAAAAGTTGTAAACAAATAGAAGTTATTTGATTATAAGTTGTACAAAAAATAACTTGCTGTAAAATCAGGGCTTCCACTACTTTATTTTAATTTTTAAAAATATATTTTAATTGTATTGCCTTTCACCACAGATTGGTTGTATATTATCCTGTAATATTGTATAATGGAAAAAAATATGTTATCAAAATTTGTTTTTCTATTATAATAATAGTCCTTATTATTAACAGGACAAATTTAGAATCATAATTTTGATTAGCTCAGTAGGTCACAAAATATCTGTTAAAGTCATCAATAACTACAAATGTTACTTATAATATATTCATTCATTTGTTTATTGTCTTGCACATCAAAAGTTATCAAAATCAATTACAGAGAATGGAAGAGGGAAATACTACTGTACAGAAATAAAAGTCACTGACATTGCAGAATCCAGCTACAGAAAGACTCCTGTAAAAACAGTCACACAAAGAAAGAAAATATGAGTGATTCTGTATTTTACATTTTCCTCAACATGGCAGACTGCTAACTGATTTATTTTTAAATCACTAACATCAATACAACATCAATAGATGACACAGGGCATAATTTTGTTTCTATGTATAAACCACCACTTCATTGTCCCATTTGAATTGCTGGTGACGTTTGTTTAAATTGACCACAAAGAGGTGAACAGACAGGGTGAAATGTCCCGAGATTTTTCCCACTAAATGGTGGTCACACACATTTACAAAAAAAAAATATTGTGATGCTTTTTCAAAATAAATATGGAGAATTTATCAATCAATTTAAAAAAAAAAAAAAAAAAAAACATCAACATAAAAGTGTGTCCATATAAATAGTAAATCATTAATTATAATGATAAATAAACATAAAAGTTAAAAGGGGGAAAATATGCATTATACTTCAACCATTTTCAAAAAATAAGTATCCCACAAATTATCTAAAAAAAAGGTAGAAATCAAAACTTTCAGAATCAAACCCTTTTAACACGGCAATCAAAAATATCAGCAATTCAAAATCTTAGGGCTCACAACCAAGCAAAAACAAGACAGAAAAAAAGAAAAAAGAAAAGTTGCAAAAGATGAAACATTCCAATAAACGGCACTAACTCTTCTAACCCAACTCAAGTTGGCTGGATTAAGACTTGTTTGAAATGTAATAAACAAATTGGAATAGCAGAAAGTGACAGACTGTGAGAAAGATAACAGCTGATTCATTACATTTCTTCAACGCTCCACTACTTTAAATCAAAATGAGAAAAAAAAATTGTACGCTTGGAAAATAGAAAACACTTCACTGATCCCTGGTAACTTTATGCCTTTTTATTGGTACAGCAGTTTCCCAGTGAGTTTCCTACTTTCCAGTGTACACAATGATCAAAGCCAGCAATGACGAGTATTTTTTAGCATTGGGTCAAAAACTGAACTTGGGAAAGGGGTCAGCATCTACTAAAAAACCAGCAAATTCAACTCATTTAATTCCACCAGCTCATGACACAAGAAAGGAAGTAAGAAAGGTGATTTCTCAAATCCTTTTGTGCTTCAGTAATGTACTGAATGTTAAATCTCATATCAGACCAGACCAGATGAAAGGGTGCAGAGATCTACAGTTTTCCTGCTGCTACCGGTATAAAAGTTCCTGTATAAAGTCAGAACGGTTAAAGATGTTTTTGAAGAGAGGAGGCTGTGTACAAACAGGTGGCAGTTACAGCCCTATGTCTTGTTTGAGGTAGAGTCATTACAAACAAAATCAATGTACTGCCGTACTATCCAGATGGGACAGCATTGCTGGGCTGTTAGTTGTTGTTTTTTCTTCTTTTTTTTGACAGATGAACATATGAAAAACAGCAATATACTGTAAATTTGCCCTAATTTTACAACAAAGATCTTCATTAGGAAAGAGTTACTGTCATTTATTAACCCTATTTCTTGGTTTTCAAGAAATGCAGAAAGAAAATCCAGCCCACATGAACTTTGCCATCAGACAAGACCTGATGAAAAGAATGTGCAGTTAGTATGTAAAAAAAATTTGTGAGATGACCTGACTGCTGTTTATTAATCATGTCTCAGAGTCTTAAAGGGATAGTCCACCCAAAAATGAACATTGTCATCATTTACTTTTTCTCATGTCATTCCAAACCTGTATGACTTAAAAAAGAAATCAATCTTCTTTTATGTTCCATAAAAGAAAGTAAGTCATACAGGTTTGGAACAACATGAGGATGAGTAAATGAAAGTTCATTTTTGGGTGAACAATCCCCTATAATAACAACATTAGATAATATGTCACTGCTACTTCTTTAATCTCCTCTGCTCAATGACGTCTTGACTGTAGATTTCACAATCTTCCTTACAGGCAACTTAATATGTTGTATACATTAATCGTCTTGACTCAGCATTGATGGTGGAATGTCTGATTTGGTCCCATGTGTGTTATTATTGAAGACAACAACAATACAGTCTGTATGAAAAAGAAACATGTGAAAGATCTATAAGACTTGTATGCAGTTTGCTGGTTTATAAGAACTTAAAGAAATTTCGGATCATTTTAAATGTTTCTGATTGTTGTGCTATTGCTTAGCCTACCAAGTAAATCAGAGTCTTTTACACACATTCACATAAATGAGAGGACAAGGAAGGAAGCTCACGGAGCATAAAAGGAGAAGATTCAGACTAGATTACTTCACAGTGATATCAACTGCAGCCAGTGGAGGAAACCTGGAAAGAGAATCTAATATTACATTAACAGTGCAAAACAAACAAACACTCTCTCTCTCTGTCTCACTCGCTCAGATAAATTGAAAGCATCTCAGTAGACATTCAAAACAACACTGCAAACAACTTCTACTTGGATCAAGGTGCAAGGACATGAGGAGCAGACAGACGGAGGGAGCATCTGTAAGATGGGCTCACTGTGGCTTCCCCAGCAAGTTGGACAGGAAACTCGACCCCTGGTTTCTGTTCTGACCTCCCTGACCACCACCTCCCAAAGGATCCAACTGGTTCAGCTCGGACTGGTCCAACATCTCAAAGTCCTCTCCATCAAAGTCCAGGTCTGTGTCCAGCTCCGAGCTCGACTGCTTTCTGAATCCCCTCGGAGCTGCTCCTGGCCGTGGGCCACTCTCTCTCCGACGACCTTGCGGTGGCCGGGGCTGCATGGCTCCTGCGATGGCTGCCTGGATCATGTTGCTGGCGATGACCCCTGCCAGGTTACTAGCAAGGTCAGAGGTAGTATTTAGGGAGCCTAGGGAGATCTCGGGGTCGAGGTCTTCCTGATCAGAGTCCATCTGGGTGTCCAGATCCAACAGGGCAGAGGTAGTAGAGCCGCGAGGGCCGGAGAACGCGGCTGAGTTGAGACTGGGCAGCCCGAAGCTGGCATCATCATCGTCCTCCATCAGGGTGGCATCTGGGTTGATGGAGGGAAAGTCTGGAAGCCCACAGGCAAATGATTCCTCTGGATCACTGTGCCTGTCTAAATCTATTCAGTGAATAAATAAGGATGATACACGTGTCAATGACGTGACACTAATTTTTATCCCCATTTACTAATTAACTCGAAAATATACAATACCATTTAAAAGTTTGGTGCTGGTAAGATATTTAAATGTTTCTGAAAGAAGTCTCTTCTGCTCACCAAGGAGACATTTAATTGATCAAAAATACAGTAAAAACAGTAATATTGTGAAATATTATTACAATTCAAAATAACTGTTTTCTATTTGAATATATTTTAAAATGTCATTTATTCCTGTGATGCAAAACTGAATTTTCACCATCATAATTTACTGCTCAAGAAACATTTCTTATATTGAAAACAGTTGTGCAGCTTAATATATACTGTATATATATATATATGTCATTTTAAAATGTCTTTACTGTCACTTTTGATTAATTTAATGTGTCCTTGCTCAATAAAAGTAATAGATTTATTTTAAAAAACTGTCCCTAAAATTTTAATAGTATGATATTACAAATGGAATTTATACATACAATAACTTTAATATTATATTAAAGATCTAGAAAGATTAAACGTACAAATATATTTTACACTTCAAAAATAATGATTATATGTGTAAACTCACGTGTTCTTTTTACTTGATGGTTGCACCACAAGAATCATTAAACTAAAACTTCAAGGTAAAAGGTTTTTCAAAACCATCATGAATACAAAGAGAAGATTTCTAAGAACTTTCTTTATTCTTGACACTCTAATATGTCATTGACCCATATAGAGAGAATGAAAAGAGAGTTAAAAAGTAGAAGAGCTTAAAGTGTCTTACCCTCCGAGCCCTCTGTGAGGGGCGTTTGACCCCTGGAGAGGTTAAAGGTGCCGTTATCCATGTACGACATCTCTGCATCCGAGTGCTCAGAGTCAGTCAGTGCCAGTTCCTTATCAACCAATGCTTCATCAAACTACAGGTGCGGAATATTTAGAGAAGTGTGTGCTTATTAAAAAAACAATGATATCATCCAACTTGCTTTTTACTATCATGAACCTCTATAGATATTCTAACCTCATGACCATGCAGCTGCTTTAAATCCCCATGTAATAAATATCCCCTGTATCTGGCCTCACCGTTGGGCAGAACGCAGCCAGTTCCTCTTCGCTGTCACTAGCATCATCTGAGGTCCCTCTCCTGATGGGCTTTCGAAGAACTGCAAACACAGAAGGGTTTATCACAACTTCTGAAAGCTGTAATATGCTGTTAACTACAGATCACAAATTCTTCATGTCAACAAAAAAATGTATCATTAAAAAAAAAAGGAACGTAGAAAAAGAGCATCAGCTAAACAGCACTTCGATTTGCTCTTGCATCCTACAGCAAGACATTTCCTAAGCGAAATCCAGTCATTTTAATAGGAATCCAAACGATCTGGAAGATTTACCCAGATTGTAAAAATGTTCATGCAAATTTGGCAAAATTCCAACATTTTGGAAGGGCTTGTTTACACCTGGTCACTTAATGCTTTTTCTCTGACCGGATATACAGTGGGGAGAAACAGAATTTGATACACTGCCGATTTTGCAGGTTTTCCCACTTACAAAGCATGTAGAAGTCTGTAATTTTTATCATAGGTACTCTTCAACTGTGAGTGACGGAATCTAAAACAAAAATCACATTGTATGATTTTTAAGTAATTCATGTGCATTTTATTGCATGACATAAGTATTTGATACATCAGAAAAGCAGACCTTAATATTTGGTACAGAAACCTTTGTTTGCAATTACAGAGATAATACGTTTCCTGTAGTTCTTGACCAGGTTTGCAAACACTGCAGCAGGGATTTTGGCCCACTCCTCGAGTCCTCCATACAGACCTTCTCCAGATCCTCTTTCAGCTCCCTCCAAAGATTTTCTATTGGGTTCAGGTGTGGAGACTGGCTAGGCCACTCCAGGACCTTGAGATGCTTCTTACGGATCCACTCCTTAGTTGCCCTGGCTGTGTGTTTTGGGTCGTTGTCATGCTGGAAGACCCAGCCACGACCCATCTTCAATGCTCTTACTGAGGGAAGGAGGTTGTTGGCCAAGATCTCACGATACATGGCCCCATCCATCCTACCCTCAATACGGAGCAGTCGTCCTGTCCCCTTTGCAGAAAAGCATTCCCAAAGATTGATGTTTCCACCTCCATGCTTCACGGTTGGGATGGTGTTCTTGGGGTTGTACTCATCCTTCTTCTTCCTCCAAACATGGCGAGTCGAGTTTAGACCAAAAGCTCTATTTTTGTCTCATCGACCACATGACCTTCTCCCATTCCTCCTCTGGATCATCCAGATGGTCATTGGCAAACTTCAGACGGGCCTGGACATGCGCTGGCTTGAGCAGGGGGACCTTGTGTGCGCTGCAGGATTTTAATCCATGACGGCGTAATGTGTTACTAATGGTTTTCTTTGAGACTGTGGTCCCAGCTCTCTTCAGGTCATTGACCAGGTCCTGCCATGTAGTTCTGGGCTGATCCCTCACCTTCCTCATGATCATTGATGCCCCACGAAATGAGATCTTGCTTGGAGCCCCAGACTGAGGGAGATTGACCGTCATCTTGAACTTCTTCCATTTTCTAATGATTGCACCAACTGTTGTTGCCTTCTCACCAAGCTGCTTGCCTATTGTCCTGTAGCCCATCCCAGCCTTGTGCAGGTCTACAATTTTATCCCTGATGTCCTTACACAGCTCTCTGGTCTTGGCCATTGTGGAGAGGTTGGAGTCTGTTTGAATTGAGGTGTGGGCAGGTGTCTTTTATACAGGTAACGGGTTCAAACAGGTGCAGACAGTGGAGAACAGGAGGGCTTCTTAAGAGAAACTAACAGGTCTGTGAGAGCCGGAATTCTGACTGGTTGGTAGGTGATCAAATACTTATGTCATGCAATAAAATGCAAATAAATTACTTAAAAATCATACAATGTGATTTTCTGGATTTTTGTTTTAGATTCCGTCACTCACAGTTGAAGAGTACTACCTATGATAAAAATTACAGACTTCTTCGTGCTTTGTAAGTGGGAAAACCTGCAAAATCAGCAGTGTATCAAATACTTGTTCTCCCCACTGTATATCAAGAAAAGGAAAAAAAAGGTGTAAATGCCCTCCAAAATGTATTTGAGACGGATTTAAATCCTATCGCTCAAACCAAACCAGAGACGCATTCCAGACGAAACTGGACAAGAGTAAATGCATCTGGTTGTTGAAGCCACATATGTAAATTTTACTCCCAAAATGTTAAAAACTAAATGTGTGAGAGGGCATATAGGCTACTAGCTCCCATATATGAGAGAGCTACTGCAACACGCATAATTGCAGATATGGCCAGCCCCAGATGTCTTCAGCAATCCGACGTGTAAACTGCAGCAAATTAAACTGGAAGAAACTCAACACACATTTAGTTGTGTGTCTCCTGTTGCAGTCTTTGTCCTTGAAATCAGCTTATAAATAAATTGCAGCTCACATCTGTTGCTTTCGTTGACGTGAACTTGAATTTGCATAAAGCGTGGGAATTGAAGATAGGATTTATATCCTTTTTGCGGAGACACATTTATGTGGCTATGCGTAAATGGAAGAGTTTTAACAAAACCGATAGCTATCCGATCAGTAAAAACGCATTAAGTGACCAGGTGAAAACAGGCCCTATGACACAAGAACAATCCAGTCCTTAAAGGCACACTGTGGAACTTTTCAACCTTTATAATATATTACCAAAACCCATTGAGATGGTACATCGACTTACAATAGGTTGAATGACACGTCTGCCAAAGCCTGAAGGTGTCTGTATCGCTTTTCCTAGCACTATGTAACTTCGGGGTTCGGGTAGGAACCCGAGCACAAAAAGAACTACAAAATTCGACCGCTTTACGGCATACGTCACTTCCCCCACCACCCACAACTTCCTCAGATTCTGACGTGAGTGCTCAACTCGCGTTTGATTGCCGTCTGTATGTTTTCGTCATGGCCGAACCAACAGCTACAAGGAAGAAGGCAAAGGTTTTGTCAGAGGACACTAAAAAAAAGTAAAAGGCATAGTGACAAATGAAAAGCCAGGACGAGGATCACCATTGGTCTAGCGTTCGCTCGCTGGCGTGAGCTACAGGAGGAGGAGGGGTGCCCAACCGATGCTAACGCTTGCCTGCACACAAATGCCGTTTCCAAGGTGACACAGATAAATCATATAAGCAGTGTAGTATTTTCTGGTATTCCGGCCAAAGCCGATGGTGTTATGAGTGTAATAAAATGCCCACAGCCCATTGTTCATTTCTACACACAAACACAGCCCGCCACAGTGCAGGGCTCGAACAAATAAAATCGACTCATGTCAAATGTACATTAAATGTAGTGAACGTTCCCACGACTCAGTGCCCACAAACACTACACACAACATGTCCCACGGTTTCTGTAAAACGAAACCAACACACATAAGTTACAGTCAGCTCAGGCCGACGGTGTTTTTAGTGCAGTAAATGTGCCCGGCCCGCCGTCCCGCGCCCACATTCACTCACAGACATGTTAGCACTAAGCCGCTCGCTCTCTCTCAGCAGACTGCTATAAGGGAATCGAGCGCGGCCAGGCTGCCCGCCTCAAACACTGCAAGCACACACAATCTAAAGACACGGGAAGCTGACTCACTGTCTATGGGCGGACCGGTTGACTGTTTGTTGACTTTTGCGACAGTGCTGCGGAGCTTGTGGCCTCTAGGGACGCTAGACGTGAAAGTTACAGGTCGAGCGCCACTAGTGGCCAAAAGTTCCGCAGTGTGCCTTTAAAATACAACTCTAAAAAGGCAGGAACTGTTCTAAGCATGACCATCAGTCCGCACCTAGTTAGATCTGCCATGTACTTACACGGGTTTTCTATGGGCTTTAACATCATGTATCCTTTGGCGCTGAAGTCCAGCCACTGCAGGGCTGGCTCCAGCTTCACACATCCACGCTGCCATAGCCGATAATACAATGCCAGTGGGCACAGCAACACACCCAGCACTGAGAGAGACAGAGAGAGAACATATTTAAGTAAATATTTCGCAGTTGTTAAGGCACTGGAGAAGATAAGTAAACCCTGAAGGATTTCTGCTACTCACAAGCCACATATGAGAGCACCAGTCCAGGGATGTAGCGCCCCACCATGGCCACTAAGGTGAACAGGCCACAAAACAGCATACAAAACTGCAAGAGGATGGAGTTTTAGGATTTGATAAACATTTAGAATTCAAACAAAAGCCTTTGTATTAACAATTTAATAATATACAAGTCATAAAAGCAATAATAATAATTATAGGCCTTCTATGGCATGTAAAAACAAAATACATTGTGGTTGGTCACTTTAACAAAAGGTTTCCATGCTCAGAAAGTCTCTTCCTGTCTAAGCGGGCAGTTCTTGTCCAGAGTAAGCTGCAAACTGGACCAGACGTCCACTGTCTGGCTACACAAGACTATAGACTTGATAATATGTCTATACAATTTTAACAGTTGATCTTAACAGTAGGGTTGTGACAATATATCGTGTCACAATATAATCGCAATACAAACATGCATCAATATATAATATATCGTGGATAGTGACAATCTGTATTGTGTATAGTATATATTAATTTCTGTGTGAGAAAAAAACTTGTTTTACAGAGTTTACAGAGTTTTAGTGTCAGTACTAAATTAAACTACTATATATAATGTTGAATATTATGTATAATAATGCAATGGGGGAATATTTGGGGGTCCTGATATTGCCAATGTCTTATGTTACCAGTAAAAAGTGGCCTACATTATTTTAAATATATCTAGCCAGTGACAAAGTGCAAGCATATTCGTCCAAAATAATTCTGTATTTTCAGCTTCAGAATCCTGAATATTTTTAATCCGGTGTCACCGTTGTCCTGTGCATTGGGTTACCAGCACAAAGTCCAAACCTATTCATTTCCACCCCCAATGTAATACCAAATTTAGCATTTTAATCAACAGTACATTTTTTGTTAACCTTTTACCATATGTGTTAGATTATTGCAATAATATTGTACCGTGAGTTCAGTATCGTGATATGTATCGAATCGTGACATTAGGGTATCGTTACACCCCTACTTAACAGTGTTGCTAGTTTGGGAGTAATCTCACCTTCCCTGGATTTTGTCGTTTGAACTGCACAATATCTGTTGCACAGGAAGACCCTGTAACCCAAATCTCAGCCAGGTGGTGGCATAATTCAGGCACACTCAAAGTCCCAGGTTGCACCAGACCCCAGCTGTAAGCCAATCAGAAAAGAGCAAAGAGAATTAACAATTAAACTATTTTGTATCAAACACCACAGAAAAACCTCAAAGAGTAAACAAATACACCAGACATTACCTTTCATTCTCACTCTCATCTTGTCTTTTAACTGCAAGAGATCAAAAACTATTTCAGACACATTTGTGACTGTTAGAAGACTCAGTTATTAGTTTTTAAACATTTGCTTAATTACATTTTCACTTCCTTTAAAAGATGAGTGTATTAGCAAGTCCTCAGAGAATAACATTGACTTGTGATTTAGGATTTGGTTTTAGTTCTATTAAAGTTGTCCCAGAGTGTAGATCAAATGCTAATAAGCCACTGGCTCCGACTGCATGCAAAATATTGATTCAGGTCGATGCTGTGCACCTCCTGGAAATGCACTGCTAGGAAATGGCACTAGTTTCATAACTCTCTAAGAGCTGAGCAAATGAGAAGAGAGAAAATGAAACTTGAGTGGGTCACAGCACAGGGAATAGAGAGGTTTTAATTACAGCCAGTATTAATATTAAGATAGACAGATGGAAGAAAGATGAGACTACAAAGTCTTAAATACGTGGGTAATAGTTGTACACAAGCAAGAGAGGAAGGTCAATTTTACCTCTGATCTTAGGCCAGATCTTATTCCTCCATGTGTCGACACAAACTCCCAGGGCCAGACCTGATGCCAGCAGAAAGAGCGACCTCAGAGAGCTCAGAGCAAAAAACCTGAGAAAGAAAACAATTACAAAAAAGTACACTTTACTCTGTTGTGGACTCTCTGACCAAAACCTTGTGATGACATAGTCATGCATTTATCATACTGAATGTATGAGGGAACCTTTGTTCCACAGGTGTTTCCGGCCCCAGTGTCTTTCCTGTGCAAATCTCAGAGACGGCATGTGCTGCATGAGCAGTTGTGATTTCTGACAGTTTCACAGCAGCATGGCTAATTACGGCTATGTATGTGCAACATTACTTGACCAAAAGGTGAGCGAGCGCTGAGACCAGGCTGAACCCTACTGATCTCTCGGTGTGAAATAAGACAGCTAATGCGGTTTGATGACTAGATCAAACAACAAAACCACATGACCTGTCAAAAGCATCACAACCAAGGGCAGTTGAAATGTTCTGAGATGGTGGCGATACTTTATTTCTGAATAGACTGGACTCTGGGTGGAATATGATTTGTAAATGGAAAGATCTAACCAAGGCCTAATATTAAAAGAGAAATAAGGCAGATTTGATAATTTAGTGAATGAAAGAAAAACCAATGTCTTCCATCATAAGAAATATAGAGTACACCATTTATCCCCAGATAATAATCAGTCAGTGCATTCAGATTACAATTCTCCAAGATAAATAAATGCCTCTACAGGCACAGAAATACCACAAGCAGCGTTCCTCTGCTGCTCACTGACGCAAATAAAAGGAGATAATAAGATCAGGGGGAATATTCCTCTGATGGAGAGGGTGACTGCACTAAGTGAATGAAGACTGCATGCCTGAACAGTGAAGAAAAAGAGAGGGACATCCAACCAATAACAATTGTGTCTGCCCTGCACAGCTTTCCTTCCTGAAGCATTTCAACTAAAGCTTTTCAGATTTATTGGGCGTTCTTTATAGCATTTAGTCAACACGAAATCTCGTTCACAGCCCATTTTACTTCTTTACAGTCACATATTTCTAAAAAAAAAAAAGGAAATATAATCAGGACTTTATCCATCAAAGACTGATCTGGATCTGTGAAAACAAATGCTTAAATAGCTATTTGGCTATTGATTAACATTATTAGTAATTTAAGAGGAAAAGCGTGTTATTGCATTTTGAATTTTTTGATTAAAGACTACAGTACAAAGACAAACTTTTCCCTGTAATAAAATGCACAGATGAATCACTAATAATAAGACCAGGATAGGTATTAAGAAAGTAAATACCGTAAGGTCCATTTTGAATTGTTATTGATTTTAGAAGCACAGATGTCATAGTGTGTACACACAGCACATGGCTTCCTATGTTAGGCTGACCTATGAAAAGGCATGAACAGTGATTTCACAAAGTACAACATGTTCCTAGATCATCATCTTTGTTGATCTGGTGGAACAACATTACAATCAACCAATCAGATTTGATGGACAAGTTTACAGTTTATGATAAGTTTAGGATTACCGTACAACCAGGGTTAGATGCTTCTATATTAGGGTTAATCACTTATTTCCTTCTGATTTTAGGGTAGAGTTAAGTTTAGGGGTAGTGTTAAAACCAAATTTTTGGACAGGAATGTTGTTCCAGGATCAACAAAATATGTTGATCCAGGAACGTCTTACTTGGCAAAATCACCAACAAGATCACACCACTGTAAGACCAGGCCCAACCAATCGGTTTGGGAACATAGTGCTTAAAAAAATGTATATACTGTGTATATATATATATATATATATATATATATATATATATATATATATATATATATATATGTATGTATGTATGTATGTATGCATGTATGTAGCGTATCTGTCATTGTGCCATGTAGTTATCTACTATCTGCAATAATAACTGACAATGGGAGGTAGAAGACAAGCTATTCAACAGCCAACATCACACAGTACTACTTTTTAATATATATTTTTTTTAAACAGTGCAAATGTCTCTGCTCAACATGCATTAGTAAAAGCTGTCAAACATGGCACCCAATACAAGGTTCTGTGAATCACAAATGTACAAAGTGTTGCACGCACAGCATTGTGTTTACAGTAGCACCACCACAGCCACTGTCTAAATATAGGCACCAAGAGAGAGAATGACACTCAGTCTGACCATCTGTTACTTATCTTAAATAAAGGGGGAAACGTCTGGAACAAGCAAGACACGTATGCATCCAGATAAAAACAAGAAAGGCTTATACAAGATCCTCAAAATGTTAATGAATAATGTAAACGTTTCAACTGAAAGCACCGGGTTGTAAAAAGAGCCCAAGTAGAGATAAATCCATGGAGATAAAGCTCATCCACTCACCAGAACATGACGTTGGCGGCCGTGTACAATAGGACGCTGTGAAAGGGTCTCTCCCACAACAATACATACTGCAGATAGGTGAGCGTGCGCTCGTGCGGTCCCAGCCGCTCAAGCAGCGTTGATTTCACCGCGCGGAGCTGCTCGAGCCTCTCGCCGGAGCACGAGCCGCTCCTGAGGCCGACGCTGGCGGAGGAGCGCAGCTTCATCGAGCAACCAGTCGCGTCTTCCGCTGCTCCACCCGTATGAGCCATACTCGCGTGGTTTAAACACGTGACGGCAAGAACACCAACAAAATATACTTTAAGTTAATGCTAAGAAATAAAACCCGAGCTTTAGCAATGATTTGGAGATCGCGAGCTAGCTTAGCCGGAAGCCGCTCAGGACTGAGCAAGTGTAGGCAGACCTCGGGTTTTCAAGAGGCTGCCGCCGTTCGTACGGAACAAACGTGAAATAAAACCCATTATTGGGTCTAATTTGCTATATTAATACTTGTATGGGTCAGCACGGGTCTTCTTTAATGTTGTCACCGTGCAGCTGTCATGTCCAGTCGTTGTTTTTGTCGCGGGAGCAACAGAGAGAGGGAGAGAGAGAGCGGTATGGAGGACGGGCTTGATCTGGCCAATGGCATCAGGATTACAGTCAGAGCTGGTGAATAACAAACAACACCTAGCATCAGCGAAATCTCTCTTCAAATGCCTTCACGTTCACGGATCATTCATAATGAATTACTTTCCAAATGTCCCAGCTCCAATGTTTTTATTATGTTATAAAAGGGTGTCATAAGGTCAGTTTGATGATGCAATTTCAACTAATAAATCAAATAGTTGTCATTTGAATTATTGTCATAGTTCAGTTTGTGGTCATATAAAGTAGGGTTTTTCAGAATGGGGAAGATTTTACAGTATAATTTATGAAACAGTAATACAAAATAAAACCCAATATATATTTTATAATTATTATTTTAGATTTATACATCTTATATTAGAGAAAAGTTCTCATTCTCAATATATATAATATATATATATATTGAGAATGAGAACTTTTCTCTAATATAAGATGTATAAATCTATATATCTATATATATCTATATATATATATCTATATATATATATATATATATATATATATATATATATATATATATATATATATATATATATATATATGTATGTATGTGCTTTAATCAATAAATGATTAATAGAAAGCGTTTCACTAGTGAGATCGTCATATTTGGGAGTCATTGGCATCAAAAAGTAAAACCTTTTAGTGCACAATAATTTTGCAAGTAAATTAGGGAAATAAATTAATTAGTTTTTCTTTGTGCATATGTGTTACTAGGCAAGAGGAAAATTAAAATTTAAACCTGGCCTGGATAGGCACATTTCCATCTGTTTGCGCAACTGACGCGCAGCCTTGATGTTGTTAAATGTAAACGCGTACTACGTCATGCGTTACGTTAGTTATGCTCTCTACGTCTGTTCTTTCTGTTTTCTGTGCTCATATCTATGTTTCGCTCTTTTCGATAAAGAGTTATTTTGGTACATTTTAACAAATATTGATCCGTTCACGTTTGCTGGCCTTCACAAAGTGGAAGTCTAGCGTGGCCTGAGTCTGCGCATGCGCACTGCTCCTCCGTTAGGCCGTTGCTGTTGGAGCGGGAACACGCACAGGGATTGTGATTGTGATTGACTGACAGCCGCACATCTCTCTCCTTTAAGTGATTATACAGCTGAAATAACAGGATAGCATGCCTCGAGAAATCATCACCCTGCAGCTCGGGCAGTGCGGGAATCAGAGTGAGACATTTGCTTTATTACGTTCTGTTTGGTAATAAGATTGCCATCTTCTCTACATAAACAGTTAGCTAGCTAGCTAACGTTATCAGTCTGGGCAGCTTTAAAATGACACAATTAATAAATACATTTAACGTTAATATGACCAGGGGCTTTATATGATATATCCATTTGCAAGAAACCAATAAGTCTTTAATTAATGACTTATCTTTGTGTTTGTTTGCTAACTTAATCAATAGCTAACGTTACTGATAAATATTTCATGTTGTCAGTTGGAGATAACATACAATTTTAGTGTAACTAACCTGGCCAGCTACTGTGTTTTCCTATGCACATGATTCGAAACGTTGCTTTTTATTATTTACCGTCACGTTTGATAGTTTTAGCTAGAGATACTTATATTGTGTTTATCATTTTAGTCTGAGAAAGATGGAGTTCATGCAATCAGAGGAGTCAGACTTGGTCAGCAAATAATCTTTGATTTTGATCATTTGATTTGGCAAGTTTTGCTGTTACTTCTAACAAAGATGTGACACAATAGCCATTACATTATTAATATTCAATCAGCAATATATAATGGCATATGACGAAGCTTGCATCCTGTTTTACAAGTGCTCTTAAGCATCCTGCATTAATGGACTGAATTGAATCGTGTCTTTATTGTCTCTGTGCAGTTGGTTTTGAGTTTTGGAAGCAGCTTTGTGCTGAGCATGGCATCAGCCCAGAGGGCATCGTAGAGGAGTTCGCCACTGAGGGCACTGACCGGAAAGATGTCTTTTTCTATCAGGTAAGTTACACAAATACAGGCTGATGATGCATTCAGAGCGTGCCAATCATCAGCCACAACCACATCATATCCAGAATGCTACTTTAAAGCCTAAATCTTATTTATCATTATATAAATCATGGAGTTGCTATTTAGACACTTGCAGTATCATCATGGCATCAACCAACATACTGATTGTGATCTTAACATTGGCTTCTGGCTGGGCCATTATGGCCAGTGTGGACGATTTTTATTTTATTGGCATGATTGTGTTTACATTGCAGAAGCATTATACACAAAACAAGTAACAATTAAAAACAAATATACAATATTAAATAATAAATATATTTATTTAATAATAAATAACAATAAAAGAGTATTAAAATAATGTGCTAAGTAATGACTAAAATAATATAAAAATGATAAAATATATGTATGTAAATAACTTGAAGGGATATTCCAAGTTTTTCCAAACCTGTATGAATTTCTTTCTTCTGCTGAACACAAAAGAAGATATTTTGAAGAATGACGGACAACTTGAGGGGGAGTAAATGATGACAGAATTTCCATTTTTGGGTGAAATATCCCTTCAACATTGTTAGTGAGGAGTTCACATAATATACCACCAGATGGAGCCATGTTCCAACGTTTTCAGTTGTCATAAAGTCAACATTGTTTCTTTGCAGTCTTTGTGGAGGCCTTTTCACCATCTGATGGACAACTAATTTGAAATAAATGGCACACCTCCTAGTTCCATTTGTCAGATTAAGAGATTATTCTAATTAAAGATCTAAATGAGGTATTTCAGTGAAACTGCGGTGACATTTTAATAAAAGGCTTGTGATGTTACAGCTTTTCTGATGTGAATTGTCACTGATTCACAGATTGTGTGAGTCACAGTATTATAGTAATTTCCTCTATTATTGCCATTGTTATGGTGATGCTAAACATCTATAGAAAATAACAAAAGCTGCAATTACATTTATATTTATTTTTACATATTATTTATTAAATTAGAAACAAATAACTTGAAAATCAATCAATACGAAAAAAAATTATATTTGAATGTAATGTAAAATTAACCTGTAAAATAAACAGATTTATACTTTAGAATACCGTAATTCCTCAAATAAAGACCGGGGCCTTTATTTACCTGAACTGCAGATGGTAGCCGGCTTTTATTTGAAGCAGGCTTTTATTAGAGGCAGGCCTTTATTTCTAATTCGCGATCCGCGCCCGCCCGCCAGCCAAGTTTCCATGGTGACGCGTCATGCTTGGCACGTGTTCACCACAGCCAAAATAGGAGAGGGGGTAAAATCTCTGCGTGGCAGGGGGAGCTGCCACTCGACCGGCCACGGAATTATGCGCCTGCCACTGCGTTATAAGCGCCTGCCACCCGACCGGCCACGGATATATGCGCCTGCCACTCGACCAGTCACAGATATGCCACTCGACCAGTCACAGATATATGCGCCGGCCACTCGAACTTACACAATATGTAAGATAGGTTTTCAAACCAAATGCAGCGCATAACCCCTGAAGCCAGCGGGAGACAGAACGGTACGCACTATAGGTCAATATTCACCATTAACCAAACGCTTTTCGCCTCGCTCACAACTACTGTAGGCTACTCGCTTTTTTTTAAATGAGCACCAGTCTCGTGACATAGACTTATGCGCCTGCCTTAAAATCTCTCACTGTTTTAATATACCAGACGAACCCACAGGCAGTGCAATACTTATCTTATTTATGTCTAATTGTATCTCTTTTTTATTCGCTCTTTTTGCCCATAGAGAGCGCGTCTCTTGGCTCCCGCCTGGACTACTAAAGCGTCACACCAGCCAAACGATCTCTCTCTGTATACACCTATCAGACACTCCTAATGGTACACGAGAACATGCATACAGTGTAAAACAGATCTTATCTACCTATTTATCATCTGATCTTATATTTTATTCGCTCTTTTTATGCGTATCGTAGTGCGCTCGCGTGGCTCTTTTAAGCGTCGCTCCAGCCATACCCGCCACACGATCTCTCACTGTTTACACCTATCAGACACTCCTAATGGTACATGAGAGCACACATACAGTGCAATAGAGATATTATCTACCTATTTATCATCTGATCTTATATTTTATTCGCTCTTTTTATGCGTATCGTAGTGCGCTCGCGTGGCTCTTTTAAGCGTCGCTCCAGCCATACCCGCCACACGATCTCTCACTGTTTACACCTATCAGACACTCCTAATGGTACATGAGAGCACACATACAGTGCAATACAGATATTATCTACCTATTTATCATCTGATCTTATATTTTATTCGCTCTTTTTATGCGTATCGTAGTGCGCTCGCGTGGCTCTATTAAAGGGATACTCCACTTTTTTTGGAAATAGGCTAATTTTACAACTCCCCCAGAGTTAAACTGTTGAGTTTTACCGTTTTTGAATCCATTCAGCCGATCTCCGGTTCTGGCGGTACCACTTTTAGCATAGCTTAGCATACATCATTGGAGTGGACAAGACCATTAGCATTTATTAAAAAAAAAAAATGACCAAAGAGTTTCGATATTTTTCCTATTTAATACTTGACTCTTCTGTAGTTACATCGTGCACTAAGACCGACGGAAAATGTAAAGTTGCGATTTTCTAGGCTGATATGGCTAGGAACTATACTCTCATTCCTGCGTAATAATCAAGAAACTTCACTGCCGTACCATGAGAGCAGCAGGCGTAATGATATGACGCAGCGCCTGAAAATAGTTCCGTTGTGTTGACGGAAGGTGGCCTATTTTCAGGCGCTGCGTCATATCACCACGCGAGCGCACTCCCATACGCATAAAAAGAGCGAATAAAATATAAGATCAGACGATAAATAGGTAGATAAGATCTCTATTGCACTGTATGTGTGCTCTCATGTACCATTAGGAGTGTCTGATAGGTGTAAACAGTGAGAGATCGTGTGGCGGGTATGGCTGGAGCGACGCTTAAAAGAGCCACGCGAGCGCACTACGATACGCATAAAAAGAGC